AAGCTGGAATTGGACCTGGATATTGAGATAGAACTGAAGGCCAGTATTCACGGTGACATAACCCTGGCTCTCTTGTAAGTTTCCTGCTCTTAAAGCACCTCACCTCCTCCCTCCCCTCTTACCCGTCAAATATGTCTGCTCAAAATCGAATGGGAGTTGATCTTGTTTTATTGACAACAGGGCATGAACAACCATCCTAGCTCCATTGCCAATTCCTGCACAACGAAAATTTGACGTCGTCACAAGCAATCCCTTCGTCCAATGCTGCTTTCGTCTTTTCATAGAGCCATACTTGATTATTTATCAATATCCCTATCTATTTATGAATATCACAAACCGGAAATCTTTTGTGGCGAAGATTTTCCTGTTTTTGATCTGATCGGCGTGCAAGACGAAGAAACAATTACAAGGGCAACCAGAGAGTTTCAATAATCGTTTGTTCAGCGCCACCAGCAATGAGGTCGATGGCTGGTAGAGACCCCGGGTAAAACACGGTTCAATAACCGGTCTACATCGAATGGCTATCATGTACTAAACGACAAATGGGACTCCCTATAACCACTTGTTAGCTTGTTATTGGTGTGGGCACTATATGCCTTGGTAATTTTCAGGCTGCTTGGGGTTGCACTCAATCATACCATGTGTCATAAACCCGGTTTTTATCTACTTGTTGTGGATGGAACCGATATATAAAGGCGGAGAGCCTAGTCTCAATAGCCTTCCAACCTGTACATTTCAAACTCATATTTCTTGAATCTATACGAAACCTACCAATCGCCGATATGTCTGACGAGAGCAGTATGTCCAAATTTAACACCATATAGCTAATATCAGTATTCGCTGACTCTATGGTTGGTTAGAAGGCCCCCTCAGCGGTGTGACTGATACCGTCGGCAAGACAGTTGGCGGCGTGACCGACACCCTGGGCAGCACGGTCGACGACCTGGGAAAGACCGCCGGCGGAGCCACTGAAGGCCTCGGGCATACTGCCTCCGGTGCGACAGGTGGCATCGGTCATACAACCGAGGACGCTGGACAGGCTGTGCAGGGCACCGTCCAGGGTGTTGGGGGACAGAAGCAGGCTGAGGACAACCCACTTGGTCTCAACAACGCCTAGTGAAGGAGACTGTGATTTTTGATGCTATTAGTGGACGGCTTACAACTTTGTGGATTTGGTTTTTTGGATTCTAAAATTGATATAATCACTTCTGGATTTGCGTCTCCCGTTAATCAGGCTAGTATTAACTAGGGCCTTGTAAACCCATGTATCCTCATTTCTCCCAACTATTTGAGTTGACATGTCTGACTACTTTGTTGGCTTCCTGATTTGGCGCATATTTTATCATCAATATCAAAATCGGCTGCTCGATAATCGGCTAGCAGGCTTTTCTGGCTCTGGCACTAGCACTACTAGGCAGACCATTGGGACGAGATCTGAAATTCCGCTAGTGGTCATTTTCCCGAGATTGGCATAGGGATCTCGCTTTGATTCCCATCCCGTGCCAAGAAAAGTTGAGGAAGCGACCCCATCTTTTGGGATTCGGAATGGGTAAAATCTGTTTCGGAGTTTGCAAAGAAGTTAGGAATATCGGGAGAAAAGGCTACCTGAGCTTAAGAAAATTGGTTGAAGGCAGGCAGAGTAATGAGAAGGTTCCGAATGGTCAAAGACGTGAAAAGACTGAGTGAAAAGTGGCAATGATGGCATGCTGTATGGGATGGCCATGTACTTTGGTTCGTTACAAGAGGAGCTGCGAAGGTGTATAGCGGCCAGTGGTCGAATGCCTGATTTTGCCTGATTTTATACTGGCAAATACCTGAATTACAATGACAGAGAGCATCTAAAATAAAGCTATTCCTACCATGTAAATCTCTGTTCGCCTAAGTCTTGGTGGTTTGAAGATATTCCGACCGTATATATTTGTTTATTTATTTATTTCCTGATCTGAAAGTTGTTCTTACTATACAAACCTCTATCTCCCTCCAATTCGAGTATTATTACTCTTCCTCTAACCTTATCCTCTATCTTCCCCCGCTAGCTCTAGCTCTAGCGTAGCGAAGTATCCCAAGAATAAGCTCGCGGTCGCTTCCGTGCCCTTTCTACCGATTCAACTACTACGGGAGGGGGCGATACGACTGCTATAAGAGGTAGCGAGACTATAATGAATGCTATGCGTACTGAAAATAGAGTGCCAAGAGGTACACTGCCTTATCGGGATTAGCCCCTATGACAATAGTGCCTTCCGTTTACAAAACACAGTATAGGCGGTATCAAAGGCGGTCTAGAATCGGGCATAAATCAGGCATTTAAGGCATCAACTCTGCAACATTAGGCATTCGGCCACTGGCCGCTATACACCTTCGCAGGCTTTTTTTTTTTGCTTTCCGGTCGTAATGTCGGCAGCTGATTTCTCAATGCTTTTCTTGGCTAAACCTGTCTGGTACCAACTCCTCTCCCGATAAATACGGCGCCACCACCCCTGACGTCGGACAGCCCAATTGTCCCATCTCGCCCGTGGTCTGTTCGATAATATAGAACGGTTGGAGTAATGTCAATGCAAATGAGTAGCACATATTTTACAAATGTGCATCATACTTCGTCTAAACCTACTCCCACTAACGTTTGTACTATTAACGCAAATCGTATCCATCCGACCAGCTCATAGTTCAACCTCTTTTTTATTTTCTTCTTCCTCCCTTCCCTCCACAATGACTGACCAGGAACAAACCCAACCTCAAACCCTTAGCTCGGAATCCAAGACCTCTCCTAACAAGCCTAAGCGTGCGCCGCGCAAGCTAGGCGAAAAAGCTCCCACCAAGCAGGAAACGAAGCCGTCCACGTCCAAGCAAGACTCCGACTCGTATCAAGAGCCAGAACAAGAACCAAATAGACAAGAGGAACAGCAAGAAGAAAGGGCCGAGCCCGAGCTTGAACCCGAACTTGAACAGACACGTAGCCGCAGACGAGGATCCCATCCCACTCGCTCATACCGTCCGGAATCTGATGTCGAGTCAATCCACCGCAGCGACATAGATGGCCAACCCCAGGCTCAGCGTCAGCAGCGCCAACGCACCCGGCGTCACCGCCAGCCACAGCAAGAACTGCAGAAGCGCAGTGGCAGCAACGCACTTTCGGGCCTGGGTGGTGTGGACCAAGCGGGCGAGTTGGTGCAAAACACGGCTGATAAGGCCATGACCGGCGTGACTGACAACACAGGTAAGGCAGTCAGCGGAGCCTTGGGTGGTGTACAGAAGGAAGAGCAAAGAGAGGAAAAAGATGACGGCGGGCGTGACGAGCAGTTGCGTCTTCGTTTGGATATCAATTTGGATATTGAGATTCAACTAAAGGCGAAGATTAAAGGTGATTTGACTATAGGTTTACTGTCAGTGAGCCCTTCTCTTCTCTTCTACCCGCATTTGGGAACCCAGAGAATCATTTTGACAATTCAATGTTTTGTGACATTTTTACTGACTGGCACTAGTAACTAGGCTCCGGGCTACAGCTGAGACGGCTGTGGACTTTTGCATCATATCTTGTCAAATTCGTTCCTCGCTCTAATTTGCCTTGAAATTCACATGAGTGTTGCGAGGAGAACATATAAGCACAAGGCTCTCACAGCATCGAGCATTATGTATTGTGACAACTGTGTGGTAGGCCTTACGGCCATAAAGCCTTTGTCTCATTGTCATTCAATGGGCTCTATCATACTTGGCTTTGGGGCAGAAACCTTGATCCAATCTGTCGGCCCAACTACGTCAGCCAAACAGTAAGCAGGCAGCGCAGCTTTCTTCCTGATCATCGCCTTTTATGTGCCAGTATCTTTTGTTAGGCAATGTGAATTGAGCCGTGGTTTTGGCGCTGGAAGGTGTAATATATCGATCCCTGGTTGATTGCAGTTTGTATTTTAGAATGTGACCAAGCAGTCAGTATCCAATAAAACGCATTTGGTTAGGCCCGTGAATAAGTAGACGGCGATGGTATAGATAGTCTTTAGACTGCCAATGAGCAGTCTTGGAACAAGTAATAACCGGAAATAATCAGAGCTCATCGAACCGATGAAAGCGGTTCGTGGCCAACACGCCAATCTTCAATATTCAGCGTCAACAAGCGCACCTTTAACCAGTCGTCAAATAAATCGTAATGTATTGCTCTAAAGTAGAAGCCAGGGGATTGGATATCCCTCGGTGCTGCTGACTGGTCGGGGGTAAGAGGTGGAAAAAGAGACCAGAATATTGAGATATTCTTTGCTCCGGAAGCAGCACAGTATTGAAATATGTCTGCCCATCACCAGGGAGCCATTCTGTAGGCCGAAGGCTACGGAAAGTTGGCGACCATGACCATAGATTCTGTAATCGAAACGACCCGGTCACGCTACATTAAGATTTTGCTGCCCATCCAAATTTCACTTGAGGATTTAGGTCAAGGAAGAGCGAACTCCCAACGAATGGCTGCACCGGGGAGTGATGGTAGTGTCAGATGAGTTGTCGTTGCCGCCGACGTCACTGGGGCTCTGCAGTTCAATGACATGCCGCTAAGTTTTCTTGAGTTTGGCTAGAATATTCACCAACTTCGTCATTGTACTACTTCCAAGACGTTCAATTCAAAAAGAAATATAGAGCCTTGGTTATACAAAGTCTCGACTTCAATGCGCCGGATAGCCTGCTTGGTTCGGCGTGTTGGATCCAAACCAGGCCGTGATAAAGTGGATTTTGGCTACATCAGACGGTTAACGCTTGTTATATGACATGGACAGCTTAGGTGAAAACTGTTTGGTGACAACTGTTTGGTGTCACTATGATGCAAGACAATGGGCCTTTCGATTGCAAAAACTAGTTTATCACAGCAAAACCTCACCATAAAGGATCAACGCCAATCACTTGGAATTCTTTACTATCAAATATTCCTAAAGCTCAATTCTCATCTGCCTATTTTTGTGGAAAGTAAATACTGAGTACAACCGAAAATCAAACGGTCTTCAGATCCTCCCTCACGTCGGGTCAAAATGAGCCTCGATTCTAAGAAAAAAACGGGTCCGCGCAAGCTCCAAACCAAACAATCCGAGCCCATCTCGGATGACAGGGAAGAAACAGCCGTGCCTGCAACCCCTTTCTCAAAGTCTACAAAGGAGTCTCCTGGTGCACCCGAGCAGCGCCGTCCTATCTCCCCACCCAAGGATGATGGTTCTCAAGCTTCTGGCGCCGCGGCCCCACTCGGGCGCGCCGTGTCCGAACGGCCCGAGAAGGTTCGGAGCCAATCGGGTCAAGTGAAGGATATAGCGCGAGAGGGTGAGAACACTGACTCGAGCACCGTGTCGGCTGATTCTTCTACGCTTAAGGGTCTCCAGGTCGCCAAGGGTGGCCAAATCTGCGATCAGAACGGCAACCCAATGGGAAAAGTGGTGGAGGGAGACTCGGAAGACTTGGTTGGCCAGACTGTCGGGGACAATGGCGACATTCTCAACGAGGATGGCGATTTGATCGGCCGTGTTGATATATTGGATGAGACGGTTGATCAATCTACGGAGTTTTCTGGGGAGGAAAACTCGAAGCTGGACCAGGCCAAGGACGTGGTAACCACCCTGGGCGAACTCGATGGGCTGCCTGTCTCCGAGGGTGGCGTGATTGAGAATTCTTCCGGCCTGGCGGTGGGCAAGATTGTCGAGGGAGATCCGGAGGATCTCGTCGGATATACCGTCAATGGCGAGGGCGAGATCGTCGATGATGAAGGCGACGCCATAGGCCGAGTGGAGTTGTTCCCCGTGGAGGAGCAGCAGCAACAGCAACAGAAGAGCGCCGAAGAGACCGCTCACGACGACACCGAGGAGAATAACAAAAGAATACCGTCGATCGAGTCTCTTGAGGGTCTGAAGTGCAACAAGCGCGGCTACATCATGGATGAAGCTACCGGCAAGCCTGTTGGCGAAATAATTGAAGGTGACCCTAAGAAGCTCTCGAAGCTTGGCGCCGAACTTGACGCCTTGGGCCAGTTTTGGGACAACCGCGGCAATATGATCGGCAAGGCCCAGCCAATACCCGTCTACGATGATGAAGAGGGAGGGCTATTTGCGGGCCTAGATGGCCTGGTCGTCGGCCAGGACGGGTGGGTCGAAGACGAGAACCAGACGAGGGTCGGGCGAGTCATTGAAGGCGACGCGAAGAAGCTGGTCAACAGAGCAGTGGACGAGGACGGTGAAATACTCGACCAGTATGGCAACGTCATCGCGCGTGCAGAACGGTGGGAGGAACCTGAATCGCCTCAGGTAGAGCCTATTGACCTTTCCAGTATGGAAGGGCTGAGCTGCAATAAGGCCGGGTATGTGATCGGGCCGGAGGGCTTTCCGATCGGTCGTATTATTGAGGGCTACCCTAAGGAGCTGGCGGGAAAAAGGATATTCGAGAACGGCGAGATTTATGAAGGCAAAAATATTGTCGGTCGCGCCGAGCTTATTCCTGACGACGAGCGCGAAGATATTCCCGATGGCCCGTTCGCCGGCTTCGAGAGCCTGGTTGTTACTGAGGACGGGTTTATCGAGGACGAGAACGGCTCTATTGTAGGCCGACTTACCGAGGGGGTTGCCAAAAAATTGCGTGGCCAAATGGTCGACGAAGATGGGGAGATTACAGATAAATATGGCAATGTCAGGGGCCGTGGCGAGCCTTATGAGCCACCTGAGGAAGAACCCCCCGCTGAAGAGGACCTGTCTATTCTTGAGGACAAAGTAGTGAATAAGCAGGGGAATATCGTGGACCCAGCTACGGGTGCTGTCTTTGGGCGGGTCATTGAAGGCGAACGTCTCGCTAGCTATAAGGTCGACGGCCAGGGTCAAATCTGGAATGATAACGGTAAGGTGGTTGGCCGGGCAGGGCTGATACCCGATGATGAGCAGGAAGAGAAGGAGGGGCAGTTCTACGGCTTCGATAAAGCTGAGGTCGGTAAGGACGGTATGGTTGTGGACAAAGGCCGAATTATCGGCCGCCTTATCGAAGGCGATGCAAAGTATCTTTTCGGCCGTAAGGTCGATGAGGACGGCGATATTATTGATAAGAATGGAAATACTATCGGTAAGGCCGAACGCTGGGAACCGGAAGAGAAGCAGCGCGATATCAACCCTATGTCTGGCCGCAAGATCACTAAGGAGGGTGAGGTACGTGATACGGATGGTAACCTTATTGGTAAACTGACTTCCGGTAATCTGGCAACGCTGGTTGGTAAAACCGTTAACGATAACGGCTATATCGTTGACAACGATGGCAACAACATTGGCGAGTGTACCTTACTGGAGAATATTCCGGAACCTAAGCCTGAAGAAGAGGATCTCACCTCGGAAGAGGCAGAGGCTCAGGCTAAGGCCGAGCAAGACCGCCAGATAGCTGAGAAGATGATCTATATCCTCAGTCAGACCCTCGACCGAGTTAAGCCTATTTGCCAACAGATCACTGAGGCGAGTTCATGTTCCCCCTTATATTTCTTTCTTAGTAGTAACAATTCTACAGCAAACCGAAAAGGCCGAGCGTACACCCAAGGAAGAGCTCGACGAAGAGAAGCTCGTCCAAGCCGTTAAACCTCTTCTGGAAGAAGGCGGCCGTATCCTCCAAGAATGTAATGGCTCTATCCGCGCCCTCGACCCCGATGGCCGCATCGCGGCCACCGCTAAGGCGCGCGCCGCCTCACGTGATGCTACCCCGGAAGAGTACCAGCTCGCCGACCTACTCAAGGAGCTGGCCGAGACAGTCACCAAGACGATCGATAACGGCCGCAAACGCATAGCTGACATGCCTCACGCCAAGAAAAAGCTGAATCCGCTCTGGGCCCTCCTTTCCGAGCCACTTTTCCAAATCATTGCCGCTGTGGGTTTGCTGCTGAGCGGTGTTCTGGGGTTGGTCGGAAAACTGCTCGGTGGTCTCGGGCTGGGTGGTTTGTTGAATGGCCTTCTTGGTGGATTGGGACTTGACAAGTTGTTCGGTAGTCTAGGATTAGGGGAAAAAAAGTAAGTAAGATGAGGGGATTGTGATAATGATTTTTTCTTTTATTGGCAAGTATCTTTGATTCTACAGCTTGTGTTGGCTAATTTCATCTTGGAATTGAGCTGGCCTGTGGTGCTTCAGTTTTTCAATTCATCTCATCATATTGGTATGTGTTTATTCATTGCAGGAATTTTGTATAATGCCAATTGGGTCTTGAAATGAAATGCTTTCTTGTTTCCAGTTTGCTAGTCCAATAAATTTATTGGTTCCTTAACCTAGCCACATCACATTTGATGGCGCCGTGTTCTGGTATTCGCCGAGCAACGGGATAAATCTGTAAAAGTAGAGAGGTGTGGAATTTTCGCATTCTTTTCAAAGCGCTCCAGATAAATCGTCGTCGAGACGATTTTCATTGTGGTTAAAACTAGACATGTGTTGACTTGGACAAGAGGAACTAGGCAGAGAGAAATCTGTCGAAAGTGAGGATTGGCTATCAAAAGTAGCCTTTTAACCCGCACTCCGTAGTGAAGGTTGATATTTTGTCTCTTCAGCGCTGGTCATCTTGCTCGTCGCATAGGTCGCCCACGACACACATAGGTTGCTGCTGTCCCGCGTGATGCACGCAGAACGCGGCTTCTCATCGAGCCTGCTGGCAGAATTGATTTCCTTGAGTAGAGCAACGATGTATCCTGAAGCTGAGCCGGAGCCGACTGAAGAGACAAAGTTGCCAATCCCATGCGCCGTGCCGCAGCAAGCAAGTCCGATGCCACCACCAGGGTAGTTACAGTCGTACCAGCTCCTTTCGGACAGGTGGGTTTTCATTGACGAAGGCACTGTAATAGCTCTGTATAGCGTCCTGTTCGTTCATCGAGGCATCGACTGTGTAGAGTGTGAAATCAACGCCGCTCAGCCGATCGGTATGACTACCCATGGCGAGTAACACAATACCAGACGGATTACTCATAGGCTGCGCAAGGGCACCCGGGAAGAACATTCTCAGCAGCACGAAGCATGCAGTCATAGTGATGAACCCGATGACTGATTTGGCGACAAAGAATTGAAAATCTTTGCTTTCGTCACGGCGCCTCGCACCACACTTGTCACAGACATTGGAGTCGCTCATGATGTCGTTTGGGTTCGGTGTTTTTCTTTGCCTTGTTTCCGCGAAAGTAGAGAAGCTGAACGGTGGGAAAGAGGAAAGGAGAGAAGCTGAGAGGTGGGAAAGAAAAGAAGAGCGGAGGGAATCACTTCCTGAACTTATAGCCGTCCAGCTAATCTCGATCGAGATGGTTGCTGTGAGGTGGCAGGAAGGAGTCAAGGATTCCCGCTACAACAGTCTACCCTAGAAAGATTTACCCACACTCTTTGCTAGTGACGCAGAGATCTGCCCATATTCCCATTAATCTTAGTCCCTAGTATTAAGCTTGTATTTTGTAATATGTCGAGTTCCTCTAATTCTTCTCTTCTATTCTACCATTGCATTTGTCAATTTATATTATGCCAGGTAGATGCTATGCAGTTAGTGATGCTCGGGGGCCCTACTATATATCAAATTGAGGGTGGAGAGCGCCATTGCTTGGGTATAAATCATTTTGAATCTGTAAAGATACTGAATTATATACCACGCTATGTATGAGCTAGAAAATCTAAGTGGAGGTGGGTGAATCTTTTTAGGGCAGGGCACCCACTTTATCTAATGCTTAGTTATGGGGCTATTATCAATTGTTCTTTCTTTTCCTATTACTCTTTTCTTTTCTACTAGTACTGCCACAGTCAAGACTGAATATGTAATGGTGTCGAAAACCACCTTGATATTACAAAGAAATATGAATTTATAAAGCCAGAGAGCTACAGCATCAGTGAATGGAATTTGCATCATGACGGCATACCGAAAGGAACCTAAAGGATTGGGGGCTAAAATATGATAGGCAACCACGATGATAAGCTTCGGCTCTGAGTCACCAAACCTGCCGATCTGAAATTTCTGGACATAAAAAGAAAATAAAAATTGATAATACTCGGTTCTCCCTTTCGGGTGTTGGGTCTTGGGCCCGTTCGTGAGGCCCTTCGGGTTGCGGGTCGGGCCACGGGCCGAGATCTTGGGCCCGGGCTTGGCCGAAGACTACCTAGGAATCAGTTATAGTTTTATCCCTTATTCCGGAAGAGCGCTACGGTATATAAAGATTGCTGTCACGGATAGCTTATGCGCTACTATATATATTGTCACATCTCAGTCAGCTCTCGACAATTAGCACAGAGTGGTTTTGCCAAACACTGCCGGACAAGCTATCCTCGTAATTTGCAAAGAATTCCTTGACGTTGAAGCGCAATTTCCACTGTGCCTATCTAGTAATTAGATCCGATTTTCGCATCGTAGAGTATCGTTATAGACCCTAACGAGTGTCAGTTTCCATATCCCGAATCCGATCGAAGGTCGTCCATCATAGTACTAATACTGCATTTGGCTCCGCCTCCCATCCAGTGGCAATTGGCGCATGAGCCACGTAACTCAACCACACACTTTGTGAACGGACCGTACGACTTCTTGCATTTGTCGCACTCGTCTTCTGCCTCGTCTCTGACAACATGTGCCATCGCAGCTTTGAGGTTGACGGTACTTTTGCCCGTCTTTACGTGTAGGTCCGTTCGACCATCTTCCGTGTATATGGCTCCCGTTTCGGTATTAGTTGATAGAGACCTGGACTATCGCGCCCTTAGCGATATTTATACCAGCAGGAGTCGTCCATGGGAAACTCATAATATGATATGCTTATACGTCTGGCGTATCCTGACTGCCGTTATCTCCGACCGAAATATCGGGGATCCGTGGACGGCCCTAATTCCCGTCGTATCCACCATTTCCATCTCTATCTATAGACCACAGCCCGTTAGCAATCAAACTAGCTCCTATCTATTAGTATGGGTACTTGACATACCACCTATACTCATAGTACCGAGTGCGATAGGCGGTTTAGGTTTATGAAAAGGATTTTCGGGGTCTATGGAGTGGGTGTTGCGTGCCAGTTTGTATAGCTAATTGAGGATTCTGAGTATAAGGAAGGAAAAAGGAAAAGAGAAAACAATCTACGGCCGTGACTAGGTTTTATGCACTTCCTGGCGACCCCGCTATAAACCATGCAAACCTTAACTTCGCTTTCAGTTTAGGAACGACTCAGTCTGCAGGTACGAGGTTAAGGTTCCAGGTTTGGCAGGCGCGCAGTCGGTATGTAGCAGTCGGAAGATCATCACAGTGGGATCTTTGTGTATCCCAAACGTGACTTACTGGAATAGATGAACGAATGGGTATGTCTCGGCACAAGTTCCGAAACGAATGCGTGTATTATTCTCTCTTTGCTCAGGACAGTTCTTCATTGTGTTGCCGCTCTCCATCATGGCAGCATCTTTGATCAGGGAAAATCGCCCTTCCCAGATCACCTCATTCCACGGTCTAGTAATGCCGCGGGAGGAACGGAAACCTTTCAAAGAGGCCTCAAGAAAAAATGTAATTTTTGCTGAGCGAAGCGAGGCAAACTATTATAAGATTTGAAAAGTGGGAGACCAGGTAACTGTGAAAGAGAAGTAAAAAATAAGTAAAAGAAAAGTGAGAGAGAAGTAAAAGGGAGACTCAAGAGCCTGCTGATGACCTGAAATGACTAGCATCAGATCTCGAGACTCAAGTAGCTTAGAGATATAACGGCGAAGGAAAAGAGGAAGAACCATGATTGAGCTAGGATGATGCGAGGAGGAGGTGGATCGTGCGCGAGTAGAAGTTTTCAGGTGGAATGATGCACTTGATAAAGGTGATGTCTTGAAATAGTGGAAAGAGCCTTCGACTAAGCCACATTGCTAATCGTATCAAAGTTTTCACTATAGTCTCCTATTAACATGTATTTTATGAGTATCTAAGTTCGGCGCAACTCCAACAATGGAGACAAAAGGGCCGAGCATGTCGAAGAGACCCCAATAGGGGACTGCATCGTGCCAAAGGGGGTCTAGCAGGAATTTAGAAGACCTCGATTGATTGCGAGGGTCCCATTCGGGGTTCAAGCGCCGCTTGATCGTTTGATGGTGGCAATTGGCAATCTTGAATATCATATAGATGTCCATTATCGACCACATGGTGAAGGAAATCGAATATCTACCATTCCAATGGTCAGCATCGACTCTATGCAGCGGTTGTTATTTTTGCATTCATGCATGTGGTCGCGGTCCGGATTGGCAGAAACTACTAATAATTACATCAGACCTGCCCTTAATCCCTTCACCAACTGACAATCCTGACAAACCGGCTCCTGAAACTCTGTCCACTGTTGCGATAACGCCTCTCTCCAAAATCTCTACTCCACCTTCTATGGCGGTCTCGCCTGTCAAGTCACCCACGAAAACCTCCGCTCTGCCACCAGTAAGTATAGGCCAACTCCCTGTTTTTGGTCATGTCGCTAAGTATTGCCAGTTTACAGATCCCCCTGGCTGGACCTCGAACCCATCAAATCCTCTTTATCAGGAAGAGTGGATAGGCGCCGACTCCGAAGGCCAAATAATTGCTCGAGACTATGGTCTCCAACCAGGACAGCCGGTTATGGAGGATGATTACGGGTGGCACACAATTATCCTGTCTGGCAATAAGTTCTATCTTTGGGGGCGGTTGAACGACGAAGTCGAAGAATTTGTGTCTCAAGATATCCGCGAGATCACTTCTTCGATATCCCAGTCGGGGCTTAAAGAGCTAGCCAGAAAGCCTCTTCCTTAACTTCTGTAGGGAATAGCTGGCGTTCGATTATAAATTAGCAACAGATATGGTTCAACGTCTTGTCAGTCAGCTTCGCAAAGTTCGAGAAAGCCCTCTTTGCATCCTCAGCAGATTAATGCTACACATATTGCTCTTGCTGAGCAGTCATACGAACGAGAGGGTCAAACGGCATGACGGGCTGAGTGGCTTTCACAGAAACCCCCCATGAGATACAGCTCTCTGTCCGAATATCATCATGGATTACTCCCCACTGGAGGCGGACGTTTGCAGGACCACCAGGTTCTGAGACCAGCATTTGGTTCAGCGTACTAGTGACTTGTGAGTAGTCTAGCCACAGATTGTCGATAGGACCACGGATACAGAAGTGGGAGTAGCTAAGGGCACGAACCCAAAGTCTTGAGGCTCTAGGCCCGACCCAACCCGAAGCCCGTACGGGTCGGGCCACGGGCTGGGCCCGACTCGGGCTTTGCCGAAGACTAGGAATCAGTTATAGTTTTGCTCTTATTCGGGAAGAGCGCTACGGTATATAAAGACTGCTGTCACGAATAGCTTGTGCGCTACTATATATATTGGTCCTGGGTATGTCAGAGCGAGAGATAATGGTCTTTTGGCCGAGCGGGAGAATGTACGCCCGGCATATATCCTTTACATCATGGCCTTCAGAGCTATCTCCCTCGGGGAACTGCGACCTTCTGGTCGTTAAGCTACCCGGGAAGAGCTGTTTGGTATAGAATTATCTTAGGGAAATTTTAGTTTTTGTTTTCGGGGGATATCCCTATCCTCCCCATGTGGGGGATCTTTCTTATTCTGTGGGGCTTCTAGTAGAGCGGCTATCTGACGCTTGCCTTTCCCTACTGAAAAGCCCCATTAGCACCACATTTCAGCACCACATTGTAGCAGCCCCGCAGAAAAAGATCCCCCACATGGAGAAGAGATGGGGATGTCCCCTGAAAACTAAAACTAAAATTTCCCTGGAATAATCCTATACCAAACAACTCTCCTGGATTTGCAAGCATAGCTTTTCCTACAAAAAACATGGCGAACGAGCTTAAAAGCGCCCCACCCTTCCGGGCCGAGCAGATGGGCTCACTCCTGCGCCCAGCTAACCTACTTGAGGCGCGCGAGAAGATCGCCAACACCGGAGTCTCCGCCGAAGCCGCCGGACTCCCCGCCATCGAGCAAGAAGCCGTCCGCGATGTCGTCAAGATGCAGCAAGAGCTCGGGTTCAAGGCCGTGACGTCTGGCGAGTACAACCGCACCCGATTCTGGGGGTTGATGTGGGATGAGTTCGAGGGTAAGTAGTATAATAATAGCCGAGCTATACCTAACTATCCTATATATCTATCTATCTATCGATATTCCCCCAAGCAAGCAAAGAAAAACACTAACAAAAAAACCAGGAACAATCCGACTCCAAGACGCCGAATCCTCAATGTTCAGACTCTACCACCCAGACGTAGTCAGCCTGATCGAAAAAGACCGCAAAGTAATGCCGGGCGACTCCGTAATCGCAGGCAGCAAGCTCTCGCACAGTGTCTCGGCCTCGCAGTCCAACCTCCACGAGCTGCGTCTCGTGCAGGCGTCGCTCCCACAGAGCGAATGGCCCAACATCAAGCTGACGATGATCACGCCGGCGTGGTTCCACATGCGCTACAAGCAAGGGCGCGCGTACGCGGCCGACGCCTACGCCAACGACGCCGAGTACTTCGCCGACGTCGCGAAGGTGTATCGCGCCGAGCTGGCGTCGCTGTACGCGGCCGGTCTGCGGAATGTGCAGTTCGATGATCCTGGGATGGCGTATTTCTGCTCCACTGCGTTCCGGGAGGGGTGGGCGGCGGATGCGGATAATGAGGGGTCGGTGGAGGATCTGTTGGATGCTTATATTAAGCTGTACAATGATTCGCTTGTTGGGCTGCCGGCTGATATGCATACGGGGATTCATCTTTGTCGCGGCAATTTTATTGGTGGGCGGCACTTCTCCGAGGGGTCGTATGACATCATTGCGAAGAAGTTGTTTGAGGACTTGGATGTTGATACTTTCTACTTGGAGTATGATACGGAGCGGGCTGGTGGCTTTGAGCCGCTGAAGTTCTTGCCGAAGAACAAGAATGTTGTCGTCGGAATTATCAGTACCAAGTTGCGCGATTTGGAGGACAAGGAGGCTATGAAGGAGCGGGTTTACTCCGCTGCTGATTTTGTTGCGGAAGGGTCTGGGGAGACTAGGGAGGAGGCGCTCAAGCGGGTTTGCATCAGTCCTCAGTGTGGGTTCAGTACTCATGAGAGTGGGTATCCTCTTCTTCTTGAGGATCAGAAGAAGAAGTTGAGTCTGGTGAGGGAGATTGCGGATGAGGTTTGGGGAGAGGCTTGAGGGGATTCTGATTGAGAGAGTTCCTGTTCAATTTCAACAGCAATAAGAACCTCGGGGGGATGTATATATATGATCTGTTTTCAACACGGCTTTTAGCGATATGTACTTATGAACTGATTACTAGCGAATCATCAAAATGAAATTTCAATTGAAGGACTGATACACTACAGTGGCTGCATCTACGAAAACCATAAATCCAGAATGTTTACAAGGCAGTAGATACAGAAGGAAATTCGGAACAGGTAACATGTATGAAATTGTGTTTCTTCGCGCCTGGTCATATGAAGGGCGGGCGCAGCAAATTATCTCTACTGCAGTTCAGAAAATGCTCGTAGATCCAGGTATATGATTTCCCCAAATAGTCTCAAAGCACACGCGGGTAATGACCATGCCGAGGGTCTGCCCACGCTCCAATGGATCCCAAACGCCAGAGCATTGGCGTATTGGCCTGGTGAAATCAATAGAGATGCAAGTGTGGTAAACAGCGCCTGCGCCGTGAAAGTGCCCCCGGAGAAAAGGAGGATTCAATATTCGAAATAGCAGAAAGCTCAGTCATCTTGCGACGGAGCGAGAGGAACACCCACGGAAGGGCCCGTGCCGACCTGATCCAGCGCGACAGCATGAAGTGCTGGTTTCTCGGAAATTTTTAGCAGGCCATCTTCCTTGAGTTTCATTTGCTTCTTCACCCACTCAGCCACTTCTTCGTCCTCTGTCATGGCCGATGAAGAGACATCACCGGAGCCGGACTCAGGTGGTGGGGCGTCGGTTGGTGGCTCCATGAGAGAGGCCAGCCAAGGGTGTCGGAGTAACATGTTGTAAGTTGGTCGATTTTTGGGGTTCTTGTCGAGACAGGCCTTGACGAATGCGTGTGCTTGTTCAGAGAAGCCCTCGGGTAGTGTTGGGGGATCTCCGTGGACGATAGCCTAAAAGACAAGGTTAGAATATTGAACTTGGAAAACTGTTTCGGGGTACTCACGTGTAACTGGCTGAAGATGTTGTTGAATGTTTCCGGTGGATATGGGTATCGGCCCATAGCGCATTCGATGACGGACAAGCCTAAACTCCAGACATCGCTTTGCACGCTGTATGTACCGGCGCTCGGCGCTCCCGACTGTTGCATTCCGCCTCCCGAGATTCGTTCAGGTGCCATATAACTCTGACAGCCGATATTGGTCTTCGCAATACTAGAGACTAGATTTCCGCTGACACCAAAGTCGCAGATCTTGATTTGGCCCTTGCTGTTGACAAGGACGTTGGTTGGCTTCACATCGCGGTGAATGATATTGTGGTCCTCTTTCAGTGATTTCAACCCCATGATGGTCGACAGAGCCATCTTCCGCAGAATGTTCTCGGGAACACCGCCTTCGTAAAGCTTGTCGATCGAGCCGCCGTCCATGTACTCAACACACATATAGACAGCACCTTCCTGGAAAAAGGCTCCGTAGAAATCGATGATGAATGGAGATACACAGCGGTGTAGAATGTCCAACTCCATAATGATTTGTGCAAACTTGGCTTCGTCCAATTCCAAGCGAATCTCCTTCATGGCCATGACCACTCCGGAGAGTTGAGTTGATCCAGAATCTGGAGTCGGTTCGTCGTGGCCTGGAGGACGGCTAACAATGCCACCCAACCCCTGACCTGGCTTTCGTAGATGCGGGCGAGAGTGTCGAACCTTGTAGACCGTTCCGTAATTACCCTTGCCCAGCTCTTCCAAGCGATCTACTTCATCCAATGAGATCTTAAAGCTGTGGCCTGACGAAAATTCGACACCACCTCCGTGTAGAATAGCTTTGTTTTTGAAATTGAGAGTGCCCTCTTTCGTATCGATGAACTCGGAGTATTTGCTAAAGGCAGACTCGGCATTTTGTTCCCCCTGCTTTTGATCTGTACCTGGAGTAGTAGATGGACCGGTGACATCCGATAGCTTGAGACCCGGCTTCATGCGCTTCGCCGCAAGCCCTCCGGGCCGAGGCGACATAGAGCCAGGAGCGGAGGCGGCAGAGGAAGAGGACCAATTTTGAGGATTTGGACGAGTAGCGATCGGGGACATGCCGCCAGAAAATGCGCCGCCTGCACCGCCTCCTTGAGCCATGGGGATCTGCCCCGTTGAGGCAGCAGTATGTGGCTGTGGAGCACCTTGGCGGGATAACGAAAATGCCTTCATTTTTGCCATAATATCTTGATTTAATCCACCGGTTCCTTGTGAACTCATCGACGATTTAGGTTGTGTCCCAACACCCCGTCGCGCAGCATTGACCTGCCCCAGGTGTGTGGATGAGGAATTTAGGCCAGCTCCGAAAGATTCGCGGGAGGGGAGGACAACGGGGCTCGAGGTCTGCCGGGGGAACGCAGGGGTCGTAGGGTCTCTGGGAGAAAGAGTGTCGGCTCTAGGCGCGACATCCTCAGAGGAAAAATCCCGTTCATCAGTCATGGCGAGATGAAGATGGGCTATCGGGAACGAATTCGAGCCGACACCAATGGCCGGTGTAATTGCTGTAATTATGCCGTTTTGGACTTGGCTGCACCGGATGGCAGCGCTATGAAAGAAACACAAGCAAAAACAAAGATGACAAGAGAAAATACAAAAGAGAAAACGGGTGGTCTGGCAGAGGAAGAAAGGAGGGGCAGA